TCAGCTCTGGGATGTACTTCCCTTGTAACTTTTGAACACTCTCTCGACTTCTCCGAGCCTCGGTTTACCCAACTGTAAAACTGACTTTACAATATTTATCTCTCTGACAGCACTGCTGTCAAGAGTAAGGGAGACAATGCATATGAAACACTCAGCTTAGTGCCTGGAACACAATAGTGTAGGCTAATCAGTAGGGTCTTAACAGATGCGGAAACTGAGGCTCAGGAAGGAACTGGGCCCAAGCCACATACAAAATCAACAGTGGATCCAGAAAGAGAGAGGAAGAGAGATCAAGATGAAGCCAGAGAAGACCACAAGAATGGTCTCCAGGAAAGAGTGAAAGATTTAGGATCACATTGGGAGTTGGGAACAAGCTAAGATCTATTCTCTCATGTTGTATTTATTGAGCAACTACCAGCTGCCAGGCATGGTACTAGGCACTAAAAATGCAGTGGTGACCAAGATTTTCCCACTATGGTTTCTAAAGGCCCTTGGGCTCTAATGTTTTATGACTCTGGTGGGATGCTACTGCACGATGAATGGGGGAAGGTCTCCACAATCCCCATACTCATCCAGCCCAGATTTTATTTGGGTCATTCCTGATCCAAATAAAATGACCTGCCTGGGTCATTCCTGACAATGACCTCTGCAGCAGCACAACCACCACACATACAGACCCCTCGACACACACAGAGCACATTCACAAGAATGCATACACAAACACACATGGTGTCACTACAGGCATCAGAGCCATACCACAAGTACCAGGGAAGCTGGCAGGGGGTCAGGTAAGTGATGTGCACCAGGCTTGGATGAGGGCTTGGATGGGAGGGAGGGGTAGTTGCAGGCCCAGGCACTGGTAGCCCCACATCCACACAAGGGCCACTCCCTACAGCTGACCCAGCACCTCCCAGCCTGTCACACCCCCAGCACAATCACGCCACCACCCACCACCCAGTCACACCCCATAGCCGCCCAGCTTCACCAGTCAGCCTGCCCCACCCACCATGTACAGTGCAGCAAGGAAAATCCTCCACATTTGCTTCCCAGCTGTGCAAGAGTTTCTCCAGTGCAATTATACCCCTGGGAGGCCAAGACCAGAAGCAAATCCCTTCCTCTGCTTGAATTCGCTGCATGCCCCATCCCTCAGCCAGGCTGGCTCCCCGCAGTGCTGCCTGGCCAGGGGCCAAGCTGCTGTTAGTCACTCTGGAGTCCAGCGCTGTCACCACTAGGGGATTCTTGGAAGTCTGTCTTGGAGTTGCAGTGAGCAGATGGGGACACTGAGGCCCGGAGAGAGAAAAGGATCCATGGGGGTCACCCTAGCCAAGCCTGCTCCATCCTCACTTACCTTGGTCCATACTCTGGCCGTGAAAGGGATTCCAACAATTCACACAACTCTCCTCATTTTCTCATCCATCCAAACCCTGCTCATCCTCCTCCAAGGTTAACCTTGGCCTGAAATAGGACTCCGCCTGTGCAGGACTCCCAAGGCCTGGATGAATGAGTACTCCAACTCTGTACCCCACCATGCAACACAGGACTCTATGCTGCGCTTGCAACTACAACCCTAGTCTTCCAACTTCACTGAGAGCTCTCCAAGGCAGAAGCACCTCCTCCTTCTATTGCTCATTTCACAACCCAGAGTGGCACCCATGGTAGTTGCTCAAGAGCCATGTGCTCTACCCAACTCCCTTTCCCTTTCTAACTCTGCTACAGGGAATCTCCAAACTAAATGCATTCATAATATTAACTTCCACTTATTATGCACTATATGCCTGTATTTCATGCTATTATTTAATCCTTACAACAGCCCATGACTACTACTCCCCTCATTTTACAGATGAGGAAACTGAGGCTCACTGGACTTGAACTCACTACCATGGCTTAACTTTCAGACAAACCGAACAGGCCTATGAGGTGAACAATTGCATCAGGTAGGTACACTCCTTAGAATAATCAACCATGGGTGATCAGAAGGGTTGTTGTTGTTGTTGTTGTTAGGTGCCGTCGAGTCGGCTCCGACTCATAGCGACCCCTCCTTGGGTTTCCGAGGCAGTATCACTACGGAAGTAGGATTGCCCAACCTTCCTTCCGAGGAGTGGCTGGTGGGTTTGAACTGCCAGCCTTCTGGTTAGCAGTCAAGTGCCTTAGTACCGCGTAGCATTTGCAAAAGCTCAGAGGGCAGGAATACATAAGACAGAAGGCCATTAGAGGGAAAAGGTAACCATAGGGAGGAAGTAGGAAGAGAACTGTTAGATTGTGGGGATTGCAATCAATGTTATGAAACAAAATGTGTGAACCATTGAATAGAAAATGAATTTTCTCTTAAACTTTCACCTAAATTGCAATTAAAAAAGAAAAGAAAAGAAAAAAGAAACTGAGGCTTAGAGAAGGCGTATGACTGACTGGCTCCAGTTTCCAGAGCTAAGGAGTAGACAAATGGAGTCCCAGCACAGTGCCCTCTGATTCTGGAGCCTAGGTACTTCCTCCTGAATTCCACAGAGCCTTGTGTTCAAACAAAGCTGTAATAGCTAACTCATGCCAGGTGCCCTACACATCCCATTTTCTGCTCTCTTTAAATGGTTTTCATTCTGTTTCTGTTTATACCCCATTTCATGTATGTTTTACCATCACAAGCAGCCTCTAACGATCCTTCTTGGAAGCAGACCCATAAATCATCCATCAATCAACAAGAAGACAAAGTATACAGCACTGGTTCATGCTCCAGTTCTTAACTTGGGAATCCATTCTGGGTGCCCAGGCAGAGAAAACCACAGAAACTTAGATCCCACTTATTGGGAATTTGTCCTTATTCCAACAGAGTCTGAGTTGAGAGTGTACCTTTGTACCAGCTCTGAAGAAAGGGTTTACCAAGCAAACAAACAAGGCAGCGGGGGGGCAGAGAGGACAGCATGGAGAACAGCCCAGGTCAGGACAAGCTGCCCTTCAGCCCCACTGAAGCTCCTGATGCAGACCTAGGGCTAGAAGGCCCATTCCAAGGTATGCTTATCCATTTGCCCACGAAGCTTCCCATAAGGCTCTCTCTCTGCCCATCCCCCAAATCTGCCTACAACTGAGTCCAATGCATCTATTTGTCTGAAGCTCAGTATGATAGGTACTCGAAAGGGGCAGAACAACATTTTCTTACAAATATTTGCAGCAAGTTAACACTTACTGAGCTCCTGCTCACTCACCAGGGCTATGAGTGAGCTTTCCTGTTTATGACATCCAGTTCTCACGACAATCCTGAAAGCAGTGTCACTGTTACGAGCACTTTACAGACAAGGACACCCAAGGCTCAGAGAGGGTTAAGTGACCTACTCAAGGTCACACAGCTCAGCAGAGGTGAAGCTAGGACTGCTCTAAGCCAACCTACCTCAAAGCACCTACTCATACCTCCTATCCAGTTTCTCCACCCAGCATTCCACTCTGGTCCTGAGTCAGCTCTGTGGCCCAGAGCACAACTAGGAGAAAGGCTTCCTGCAAGTGACCAGCCTCAGGGCTGCCCAAGGCCCATCAGGAACCCACATAAATGCAGGCTGACGCAGCTTCTCCAGCGATTCGTGAATCCAAACTCCTGGGAAAGTCTGCCCTAGTACAGTGGGTACCACAGGTCCCCCAGAAAGGCAGGATATCTCAGCCAGAGGGTTCTCACCTCTTTCTACCCCAAAAGGCCTCTGTCATCCCAGGTAGGCAGGGACCCACGTAGAAAGCAGGGCTATCCCCATGCTACAGGAGACGTCACCCTCACGAAGAGGAGAGAGAGGCAGGATCAGAGGCAGAAGTAGCAGAGCTCGCCAACAGAGACAATGTGAGGGAGAATGGCGACTGGCATGCCTCTCAGGTTTGCTATGTGCTAGGCTCTAAATAAAACTCTCTCAATCATTACCCCATTTATTCATCATTCGTTCCCAATGAGGTAGAAACAACAGGATTATGCCCTGAACTTCTCCCCTGCAGAGGAGCTGGGAAGTGCTGGCCATCACAGCCCCTAACCTCCCACATGCCCACTCCTTGATCCAGATGCCCCTGAGAGATTCCAAGGAGCAGGCATGTTCAAGGGCCTCCATTTATGAATGCAGAAGCCAATATCCATGCAGGCCTGGAGCCCACATCAGCACTCAGCCCCTCCCTAGGCTCTGAACACTTGGGAGAACAGGGCAGTAGCTCTTGAGTTAGCCAGGACTCTCCAGCCCATGAAGGAGGATGCTGATGGGAGACAGGGAAATAGAGACAAGAGCTCAGGGCCTGTCCCAGCATCTCCCTGTGTGCCTCTGGGCAAGTCCCTTCCCTTCGCTGAGCCTCTGTGTCCTCACCCGCACAATGAGGGCTCTGAGCTAGATAAGAAGTCTGTGACTCGTTGGGGGTTGCAGGACCCTTTGGGAATCTCATGAACGGCTGCCGTGGACTCTCTCTCCAGATGTAAGAAATGTTTAGTGTAAGTTTAGGAAAGCTGTGATCTCCTCTCACCAAAAGCCAAGTTAAGAAGTCAGAAACATTCTCTAAGGGCTCCTTTGCTCTCATGGTCTAGACAGGACCTAAGCCACAAACGGAACATCTGAGTATCCATTCCAGCTTCCCTCATAGCCCAGCAATAAATCTTTACCCCTCAGATCTGTCAGCTGCAGGTGAATCTGGGAACTTTCCTAGCTGTAAGGATAAGCCCCAACAGAAACCGAGCCTCCCTTCTCATCCCTCCCCCTCTCTCTTGTCTTCCTCCAATAGGGATCTGCCAGGTCAGCCTTGGAATATCTCCCTGGGACAGCTTCAGAGTTGGGACACCCGAGGAACCTGCTTCTGATACTGACGGTAGATAGGACCCAGCACCAGTCATGGGCCAGTCATGCTCTAAGCCTTGTTGGCACATACCCACCCCACAAATACACACATTCAGGCAGACAGGAAAGCCTGGACATGAGAAAGGGGACTACGGACAGGGTGAGAGGGTATGGGAAGGCAAGGTCAGACTGGGGGAACCAGCAGAGAATGACAAGACCCACCAGAGCTCCAGGCAGCAGCCACTTGGTTCCTCTTCACTTCAGCCGCATCCTCTTAGTGGCTCCACACTCCTCACTTAGCACGGCTGCACCTGATCCCAGAGCCAGGAGAAATGGCATTACTATTGGCCTAATCCCCTCCCCAGGAGGGAGGGAATCAGGGAGGAAGGGGAAGAGGGAGGTGGCCCTAGGGCACCCTGAGCCACCAACCACATTCCCAGAGGCCTCCAACCCCCACACTCGCCACATCTCTCATTAGAAGCCATCAGCCCCCATCTCCCTGGCCTTTTGAAGGGGATGTCTTCCCTGGATGTTGCTCCCATTCAGGGATCCACTTGCAGGCAAAGACCCCTGCCAGGAGGTGCTTTCCCTTAAAAAGGAAAAAGCAAGTCCCTGACCCTTATGCAGAGGGGCCCTTCTGTCCCTCTGAAGAAATATGGCAGCAAGAGTGAATGGAACCTTTGTTGGCAGCAAAGAATAACCAGGTTCTGGTCCCAGCTCTGCTCAGCTCTCTTTGTCCCTATGTGACCTTAAGCAAGGTCCTTTCCCCTTCCAGCCCTCAGTTTTCCCATCTGTCCTGAGAAGAAGGTTGACAGCCCTTATCACAGCCAGTTGGTGGCCTACTTGTATGTGAGATTGGCTTTGGCCCCTACCCCCAACCCCAGCTCAGCTGCCAGACCTTCCCATTGCTCCACCTCCTGCCAGGAAGAAGGTGACTGACAGAGGTATGTTGTTGTTGTTATTTGCCATCAAGTCGGCCCCGACTCATAGAGACCCCTCCTTGGATTTCCGAGGCAGTATCACTACGGAAGTAGGAATGCCCAACCTTCCTTCCGAGACAGAGGTATGTTGTTGCTGTGTTGTTGTGTGCTGTCGAGTTGGCCCCAACTCATAGCGACCCCTCCTTGGGTTTCCTAGGCAGTATCACTACAGAAGTAGATTGCCCCATCTTCCTTCTGAGGAGTGGCTGTTGGGTTTGAACCACCAGCCTTCTGGTTAGCAGTCAAATGCCTTAGGCACTACGCCACCAGAGCTCCTAAGAACACGGGATCAAATTGACAATAGCAACCTGAAAGATTATGTTAATTGAGGAGGAACATCTCAGAAAAGGTGAGAATGCTTGCCACAACTCAAAGAATATAATCAATGTTACTGAATTTTACCTGTAGAAACAGTTGAATTGGTATGTGTATATTCTCAACAAAAAAACAAAACTTTAAAAGAAAGAAAAAACGCTTTAGCACACAGTTCTACTCTGACAAAATGGAGTAGCCATGAGACAAAATCTATTCGGTGCTAACTGGTCAGTCTGGGTTTTCCTCTCAGTGGCAAACGCTTAAAAGCATCCAGCTGAAAAGGTATTTTGCCTATTTAGAGGACTCCAGGGAGAAAAAAGGCAACTTGCTACTGGCTGAGTCAGGCCCTGGAGCAGCAGTATTAACAAAGATGGTGTGTTTGTGCGTGTGGGGCTTAGACATGGAGAACAGGCAGACTTTCCAAGCCCCTCATGTCACACTATGAGGGTAGCCTAGGATCCTGCCAGTCACCCGTAAATACCAGGAAGCCCCTGCCAGGGATTAGCAGCCTTGGCTACTCTTAAGAAGTCACTCTGAGGCTCAGCCAGAGTGATAGGGAGACTGGCCCAGATGGACTCCCTATCACAGCCATCCTGGAAGACACCAAAGCCGGCAGGAAACTGAACAGCCTCCAGGCCTGGTGGTCAGAACAAAGGGGGCCAGGTGCGCTGGGGCGACAGAGAGGAAGGGAAAAGCTTTGAGGTATTTGGAGCCGCAGAAGCCCCCTAATCTCTTAGAGGCCTAGTGGGCCCAACACAGGGCCTGCTGAGACCAAGAAGGCCCCGTGAGGACCCACATGAAAGTGGCCTCGTCCCATCAGACTCTGCTGGCGCTTGTCATCAGAATAGGAGCCTGCTGCCAACACACCATGGGTGTGAAAGGGCTCAACAGGCTTACAAGGAGATGCAGCTGGCCAGGGGAAGGGGCAGGAGGTGGGTGGGAGGGCCATGCTTTCTCTAAAACACAGATGGCTAGTGAGTAGAGAAAAACAGTAAAAAGCACCAGGTGACCTACTTAACACAAGCTCCTTTTAAAGGGGCCCAGGGTGGCCCGCCAAGACTCTGGAAGGTGTCTCTCAGGTGTCCCTATACTCCCAGAGCTGGGGGAACAGTACACAGGGTCAGAAGATCTGAGTTCTAGTCCTAGATCAGGCAAGTGAGGCACACTCAGGGTTGTCCAAGGGCAGGGCTAGCACCCGAGAGTGTGCACCTGCTTAAACTGTGTGTCCTCGGTGCCTCACTTGCCTCAGCCCAGCCCGGCCCTGCACTAACCTGCCAGTGACCTCAGCAACTGCCTGCTCCTTGTGAGCCTTGCATTGTTCATCTATAAAATGAGAACAGCACTGAGGGTCAGACTAGATGATTCCAAGTCCTCTCCTATCTCTAAGCTGGGTGTTTCTGCAGGGAATCCTCTCTGCAGCCCAATCCCAGAAATGGGCACAATGACCCCAACTCCCCACCAATGGTAAGCCCATAAATCACTATGTTCCAGGCTAAAGCACATTACACAATGACTCTATCTATGTGGCCCTTTGCCAAATGCTTTGCCTCTACCTCATTGGGGCCTCATTTCACAAATGTGGAAACTGAGGCTCATGGAAGTTAAGCAACTGGCAAAAGCTCCCAGTTGGGAAGTATTTAAGGTCATGTTTGAACCAGTGTCTATGTGGCTCTTAATTCCTACATTCCATGGCATCAGAACAGATAACCCAAAACCCACCGGGGCCTAGAAGATGCCGCCGCATCTTTTCACCTCCCACATTTTCTATTTTCAAGTACGTCATGGTGAGGTTAATGTTAAAGGCTGGCTCCTGGATGGCAGGGAGCAGGCAGGGAGGGGTGGGGAAGTCCATGTGGGTGTCCGAGCATTCCACAGATAAACCAGCCTCTAGCCAAGCCAGTTGTCCACTGCTGTGGTTACAATGTCTTCATTGCCATCTTCACACCACAGCCACCACTTGATCATTTTTAAAGCACTATACAGAGGCAAAGCTTTCTCACAGACATTTCTTTGCATCACACAACAACTTTATAACAGCAGAGCAGGGATTTCTTTTCCCCTTCTCAATTGAGGAAAGTGAGGTTCTCAGGGGATAACTGACTCCCTAAAAGAGCACAGTGAGTCAGTGTTTGACAGTGAACCTGAAACCCAAACCTTCTATCTCCTTGCCCAGGGCTTTGTCTTCTCCTTCAAGCCCTACTTTTCAGTCCAACCAGCATTTATAGGCCTTTTAAACAACAATGACCATTTTTGAGAATTTATTATATACCAGCTATTGTATCCTAGTACCTCACATATTATCTCATGTGATCATCACAACATTCCTGTAAATTAAGTACTGCTAAATGATGGTTAGAAGTCTCTGAGTGATGCAACCAGTTAATGTACTCAGCTGCTAACAGAAAGGTTGGTAGTTTAAATTCACCCAGAAGTACCCTGAAAGGCCTGGCAATCTGCATTCAAAAAATCAGTCACTGAAAACCCTATGGAACACAATTCTACTCTGCCATACATAAGGTCAACTGATTTTTTTTTTTTTTTTTTTAATTAGTGGCTCAGAGGTAGAATTTCTGCCTTCCATGTGGGAGACTGGGCAATATACTTCTGTAGTGATACCACCTCGGAAACCCAAGGAGGGGCCGTTATGAGTTGGATCCGACTCCACAGCAGTGAGTTTGTTTTTCTTTTTGGTATGTGGGAGACTCAGGTTTAATGCTTAGCCAATGTACTTCATCCACAGCCATCACTCATCTGTCGGTGGAAGCCTGCATGATGCTATGAAGCTGAACGGGTTTCAATGAAGCTTCCAGACTAAGACAGACTAGTAAGAAAATTCTAAAAACCTACTTCCGAAAGGAGCTCTGGTGGCATAGTGCCTAAGGCACATGACTGCTAACCAGAAGGCTGGCAGTTCAAACCCACCAGCCACTCCTCAGAAGGAAGACTGAGCAATCTACTTCCATAGAGATACTGCCTTGGAAACCCAAGGAGGGGTCCCTATGAGTCAAATTGACTCGACAGCAGTGAGGGAGTTTTACTTCTGAAAATCTGCCAGGGATCACAATGGTCTGACTCGAAACTGATCATGGGACAGTATTTCATTCCATTATGCATAGATTCACCATGAGTCAGAGGCCAACTCAAAGGCAGCTAACAACAACAACTGAGGCTCAGAAATGTTAAGTATCTTGCCCAAGATACTTGCCCAAGGTCACCATGCTAGGAAGCGGCAGAGCTGGAGTGCAAACTGAGGTCAGTCTGGCTCCAGATCCTGAGCCCGACATCCCTGTGCTGCACTGTTCTGTCTGAAGAATCAGCCACAAGTATTTTCACTGGAGGGGGACAGGAGACCAGACGCACTCAAAGAGTGTGTGTGCGTGGTATGCTATGGTAAGACTGTGATAGCAGAAGGACAAACAAAGCTCTTGGGGAGCCCACAAGAGGGAGGTTGTTATAATCGCCTGGGCAATAGGCCAGGGTTATGGGAACGAAGGGAAGTGACCCATACGAGGCAGCCCTGTGGGACCTTGGTCAGGTGCCCTGTTCTCTCTGGACCTCAGTATACCCTGCTGTTAGAAAAAAAAAAAAAATCCCCAGATCTCCAGAGTCCCCTCCATCCCTAAAAACCCTTGGGCTCTGGAAAAACAAGCCATGCCTGGTGACTGGTTGGCTGTGAGCCCTGGGGAACTCTGAAATGTCCTTGGCTGTCCTGGCATGGCTCAAGTGCTGGAAAACAGGCTTGCAGAAGCACAGGCCCAGCTGGTGTGCCAGGGAGCCAGTGAAGTGTGAGTCCCAAGGGGGCCACATTCTGCCCATTGTCAGCTTCTTCACTGCTCCACTGGAGTGGACCCGCCCAACCTGCACCCAGACCAGGAACTAAGGTCACATCAAAAAATCTCATCAGAATGCCACTCCAGGGCTCTCCCTGCCAGCCTAGTCCAGAGCCCTACATGTAACTTAAGT